ATGATAGAGGGATCAAATCCTTCTTTCCCTCATGAACATGCAGATCCGTCATCATTTGTTAGACGCTTTTGCTGAATTTGTTGTTTTATTCTGTTCTCTGTTACCCGAACATTCCATTGTTAGAACCGATCATTTCTGTGAGTGAGGGGCGAAACATTCCATTGTTTAGACCGATCGTTTCTGTGTGTATTCATTGTCGTTTCTGTGTGAGGGGCGAACATTCCATTGTTAGACCGATCATTTCTGTGTATGTGAGGGGCGAACATTCCATTGTTTAGACCGATCATTTCTGTGTGAGGGGCGAACATTCCATTGTTAGAGCCGAATTTCTGTGTGAGGGGTGAACATTCAACATCAGCTGGGGAGCAAATACACATTTCCTTCACTGTAGACAAACCAGGAAATGAAAGCAAGCCTGAATCCAGCCCCCAAAACCCCCCCCTTTTTAAATTTTTTTTTTTTATTTTTACGTAGAGTGGGTAATAGTTTTCAGAAGAAGTGAAAGGGCTCACCAGGAAAACACGGTTAGAATAGTTACATACGTGAATATTGTAGGTGAGTAAACCACAGAAGTCTGAGACATCGAGAGGTTTGCACGGATTTGAAACTTCAACCCTTTCGCTGGCAGGCCCATACAACATACGGACCTGACAAAGGGAATATTTTTTTAATATTTTTTTTTTTTTTGTTCGTTTTGGTTTTTTTTTTATTCTGGTTTGTTTGTTTTTTTTTTTATTTGGTTTTTTTTTTTTGTTTTTTATTTTTTTTTGTATTTTGTTTTCTTTTGTTTGTTTTTTTAATTTTTGTTTTTTTTTTTTTTTTTTTTTTTCACACATAAGAAAGTTGGCTGCAGCCCCTGTGATTGTGACTCCTGAAAGAAGCATTCGGACGTCTGAACTGCTGCCCGATTGCTTCAACACCCCCCTCCCCCCCCCCAAAGCATTTCCAGCTCCGCTTGCCCATCTGTGGGCCCGGAAGCAACACGGCGGGTGCTGGCCGGTGGAGAGAGGAGAGCGGAATGCAAAGCACATTCACACCGTGTGGAAAAAAAATGATATCAATTTCATTTGCATCCAGCATTGCATGATCGTGCAATTGCCAGTTAAAGTAGCGCAGTACAGAATAGCAAAAAGTGCCCTGGTCATGAAGGGGGTAAAATCTTCCAGAGTTGAAGTGGTTAAACTGACTTGGTATTGGACCGTTTCTACAGAGTGATTAAAGTAGACGTGTTCAAAGGTTTTTTTTCTCCTTCCCGGCGGACGTTTAAGCAGGTCCTAGGGCTGGGACGGATTTCTTGATCACCGTGATTGGCTGTCACAGTAGTCACAAGTCTGCCTGCTTCAACACCCCCCCCTCCCGGTAGCAGCGCCACCCCCCCAAGTATTTCCAGTTCTTCTTGCCCATCTGCGAGCCCCGAAGCAGCAAGGCGGGTGGAGGGAGGAGAGGCAGACACGTCCGCTCCCCTCCCCTTCTTATTGTGACCAGGAAAGCTACATGTATGACGCCACTTCCGGGACACCTGTCACTTTGCTATTATGCTACCCGGGGGGGGGGGGGGGGAAAATGTATTGCGATGCGATCTGCATTGCAATACATCCAGTGGAGCCCAGAAGGAAGACATTGGGGGTCTTTTAGACCCTGCATGTCTCATTAAAGAGAACCTTCACCGAATAAAAAAAACAAAACAATTATCACACAGGGGACTTTGTATCCCCCATGTCACAGATGTCAAACACAAGGCCTGAGGGCCAAATCTGGAGAGGCTCATCTCTGCAACCCCCCCCCCCCCCCCACCCTGGGTCTCAGCAGTTGGCAGCAGAAAGGACAGAACTCCTCCTAAAGATCCTGCACCTCTCTGTGCAGCCGCAGCACCCCCTTGTAGCCAACTCCAGCCTCCTCCAGACCCTACACATTCTGCTTCCCAGCTCCAACTCCAGCAGGTTAGGGGAGATGCGCTGTGATGTAAGGGGGGGTGGGGTGCTCTGGACATATAGCTTTACAGATACAGCTGGCCCTTTGAAGGGAACCAGATTGCTGATGTGGCCCGCCATGAAATTGAGTTTGACACCCCTGCCCTATGTGATGGAAAAAAAAAAAAAAGCAAAAAGTTAGGAAAAAAAAAAGCAAACGGGAAAAAAAGCAAAAAGTTAGGGGAAAAAAAAAAAAGCAAACGGGAAAAAAAAGCAAAAAGTTAGGAAAAAAAAAAAAAAAAAGCAAACGGGGAAAAAAAAAAGCAAAAAGTTAGGGGTAAAAAAAAGCAAAAAGTTAGGGAAAAAAAAAAGCAAAAAGTTAGGGGAAAAAAAAAAAAGTTAGGGTTAAAAAAAAGCAAAAAGTTAGAAAAAAAAAAAAACCAAAAAGTTAAGAAAAAAAAAAAAAAAGTTAGGGGAAAAAAAAAAAAAAAAGCAAAAAGTTAGGGGAAAAAAAAAAAAAAGCAAAAAGTTAGGGGAAAAAAAAAAAAACAAAAAGTTAGGGGGAAAAAAAACCAAAAAGTTAGGGGGGAAAAAAAAGCAAAAAGTTAGGGGGGAAAAAAAACCAAAAAGTTAGGGGAAAAAAAACCAAAAAGTTAAGAAAAAAAAAAACCCAAAAGTTAGGGGAAAAAAAAAAAGCAAAAAGTTAGGAAAAAAAAAAAGCAAAAAAAAAAAGCAAAAAGAAAAAAAACAAAAAGCAAAAAGTTAGGAAAAAAAAAAACCAAAAAAAGTTAGGAAAAAAAACAAAAACAAAAAGGTTAGGGAGAAAAAGTTAGGAAAAAACAAAAAAACAACAACTTACACACAAGCACATAAAATCCACCCCTTAAAAAATCACCCTCACATATACGCACAAACGCACACATCGGGTGCACCTATGTCTGAATGCTTCGATTACACATGTTACACATCGCTGCGTACGCCGGAGTGAGAGCGATTATTCTATCACCAGACCTCCTCCGTCACACTAATCTGATGACCTATAAGGGGCTTTTGAAGCGTCACCCATAGAACACATAGGGGACTGAAGTTTGCCGCCATCTCACAGGCGCACACAAATTTAAGGTTTGACATGTTGGGTATCTATATACTCGGCACAACCTCGTCTTATATATTTTACAAAAAAAAAAATTGCATTTGTTTGTCCTAAAATTCACTTGAATGTTTTTTTTATGGAAGTCTTCCTTTCCCTAGACCTTTGCGGTAATATTGTGTGACATAAAAACAATTAGAACTGCCACTATTTTATTCTCTAGATCACGGGTGTCAAACTGGTGGCCCTCCAGCTGTTTTCAAAACTACAAGTCCCATGAGGCATTGCAAGACTGACAGTTACAAGCATGACTCTCAAAGGCAGAGGCATGATGGGACTTGTAGTTTTGCAGCAGCTGGAGGGCTGCCAGTTTGACACCCCTGGTCTAGGGTGTCTGCTTCCAGAAAATATACGGTATAATGTTTGGGGGTTTTGTGTGATATTCAGGCTTAAAATCATTTTTTAAACGTGCAAAAATAGGTCGAGCAGCGAAAAGGTTAACCGCTTGCTGACCAGCTGCAGCACATTTACCGCGGCAAATCGGCTCGTACAGGCACAATCGCATACCTGTACGTCAGGGCTGTCTTCCACGCACACGCCAAAAACGGTGCTGTCATTCGTTGCAGCACGAGTCGATCAGCGGATCAGCGTATGCGCGGCAAGAATGGGAGGACGCCACATGACGTCCTCCCAGAGCGAGAGCGGTCCCACCCGTCCATCATCGTACAAAAGGAGGGGCGGGAACCAGTTGATATCGCTTTATTGGATTTTAATTACGATTGACCTTCGATCACAGTAAATCTAATAGGTTTCAGTTTCTAGCAGTACTAGTGATTGTAGCAAACTAGCTCATCCAACTGGAAGCAGAGTTCTCCTTTACCTTGTTGTATTTGAGGTATTCCTTGAATCATTCCTCACATCCCCCCCCCCCCCTTGCATTCCTGTGAGGCGGACTTTATCTCCTGCAGATAACGTGGAACAACCAGGCTAAGACATGAGAAGTGGAGCCAGCCCGTCTGCGGAGGTGTCACTTTGGTCACCCAAAGCTATGTAAGCCCCACACCTTATCAACCTGACCAGAACTGAACATTCCTCAGGTCAAACATATGTTTCATATCATGGGACATGAGCTGGCAGTTTTAGTTTAAAATCTCCCAATGACCACTCCCAAAAGGTGTAGTCAGAGCCCCCCCTCCGTTTGTGAGGGACTTTTACAAAAGACAGGCTGACAAAACTAGAGAGAGAGTGAAAGTTTTTTTTTTTAACACAGAGAGATCTCCCAGCAACATTGTAACAAGAGGAGATCAAAGAAATCACCCTGCTCACAACTTGGATCTGCAAACCCAGGCTAAGGGCAAGTAACTCAACCCTGTAATCTTCTTCCTAATTATCTCTTTGCTGTGTCTTTATATACATATATATATATTTTTGTGACATCTTTGTAAATATTTATTTGCATCTGTTTGACCCTGTTAGAAATAAATCTTTCTTTCTGAAAGTGTTAAACTGTTTCTAGGCGCTTACTTGCAATTCACGAATCCCTGCCTTTGAAGAGACGCTACTGTTTGTATATCTCTGCATAACAGGTCCGCGGGCCGTGCTATATAGATCAATATTTCAATCATTATAGTGTATATTTGATAACGGGAGTTTCCCAGTCTCCGACAAAAGTGGTGGTGGCAGTAGAGGGTTAGTTGCGTAATTAACCCGACCCAGTAACAAGCGCATTCAGGCTGCAGGCACCGATTGTAGCCCATTAGCTGGGCAATCGCTGTGTAGGGTGCAGCTGGGTGGGGCCTTGTTATGCGCGTCACACCGCGGTATTGGATCGGCCGGTCCTTCGGTCACGAGTTTGGTGAGAAGGTCTGGGGTCTGACGCCGTGGGCGTGACGTATTACTGTTAGTCGTTGCTGTGCGATTGTCGCCTGTTGGTGGCGGCGACCGCGGGTCGTGACAGTGATAAAATAACCAGTCCCTATAGAATCCACAATCTAGACCACGGGGTCAGACCATCGGCCCTCCAGCTGTTGGCAAACTACAAGTCCCATCATGCCTCTGCCTTTGGGAGTCATGCTTGTACCTGTCAACCCTGCAATGTCTCATGGGACTTGTGGTTCTGAAGCAGGGGTGTCAGACCGGCGGCCTTCCAGCTGTTGCCAAACTACAAGTCCCATCATGCCTCTGCCTTTGGGAGTCATCACCTGCTGCAATGTACCTGTCAGAGCCCTGCAATGTCCCTCATGGGACTTGTGGTTCTGAAGCAGGGGTGGTCAGGGGTGTCAGACCGGCGGCCTTCCAGCTGTTGCCAAACTACAAGTCCCATCATGCCTCTGCCTTTGGGAGTCATGCTCATGACTGTCAATCTTGCAATACCTCATGGGACTTGTGGTTCTGAAGCAGGGGTGTCAGATCGGCGGCCTTCCACCTGTTGCCAAACTACAAGTCCCATCATGCCTCTGCCTTTGGGAGTCATGCTCATGACTGTCACTCTTGCAATGCCTCATGGGACTTGTAGTTTGGCGACAGCTGGAGGGCCGCCAGTTTGACACCCGTGATCTAGAGGATATTTAGTCATTAGATATGCAGGTTACTAAGGGCTCGTTCAAACCAGTGGCTGCACTGTGACGCAGGGGATGGTGCGCGGTGCAGTGGGGCCGAGATCAGCGCACTAATGTGTAAGAGCTTGATGCTTTGTTTTTTGTTTTTGTTTTTTAAATGAACTTTATTGAGATGTCACACAGACATCTTAAATTTCAAACACCACCTATGCATTTCATTGCCACACATCACGCTGAAATACAAAACAAAAACAGAAAAAAAAAAAAAAAAGTACTGAATATAATACTTTTTGCAGCGCACTGCACCACCGCAATGCAGTGTCGTGTTCTGGGCAGACATGGATACAAGCCCTGTCCATGCAGTCGGACTTTACTGGAATAGCCACCCAATGCAGCCCCCACCACATGCGGTGTGAACATATCCTGGAGGGACATAAAGTAGAAAACCATAAGTTTTATTTGAAACATTTTATTAACCTTGACTTCCTCATCTTCATCTTCTCCCTCCCAGCGGTCCGTTGACGCCGCCGCCGCCGCCGCACCCGCCTTTCGGACTGGCACTTCCGGCTCAAAGTCCTCCGCCTCTGTGTGAAGAAAACGACAAAAAAAAAAATAAATATTGGTGAGAACCTCAGAAAATATCCTAAGAAATCTAACTGGGGTAACTTGTCATAACCGGATCTTTAGTTAAAATATAAAAGTTCATATTCCCATCGTATGCGCACATCATGGCGCCAATAACGTCACAACAGATATTGTAAAATAAACACATTTGCACGGGGCTATTTTTTTTTTTTTTTTTTTCTCAAAGAACATCAGAACCCAACCCGTTACCCCAGGGAGAGAAGTAAGAAGTAAGGCAGCGAGCGACGCCAAATGGTTGTCTTTAGGGCTCACAACTTCGCACGGCACGTGACGCGAGGCTCAGGGATCCATATCTCAGAGCGCAGTCACAAGCAAAATGGTCTCCCATGGGACTTTAACCGCTTGCCCGCCGCCCTATGACAGATGTACTGCTACAGGGCGGCAAGGCTGCGCAAAATTACACACACACACACACACACACACACACACACACACACACACATATATATATAAATAAATAAATATATATATCTCTATCAGGGGCGGACTAACCATTTGGAAACCCGGGCGCTGCCCGAGGTCAGTAGGGGGCCCCATGAGATGCTCCTGGTACCTTTTTCATAGGCTTTTTTGAGTTTGGGCAAGGACACAGGGGCCCCATGATCCCCTATTGCCCGGGGGCCCCATGAGTTGTCAGTCCGCCCCTGATATATATATATATATATATATATATATATATATATATATATATATATATATACACACACACATATATATACCCTGTTACAAATTATTCTGCAAATTCTATTTAAGTGTCACAACGATGAAATATTTTGTTTTTCAGTGTAACTCATGGATGGCATTGTGTGTCAGGGCTCTTTTGATCACTGAACACAATCTGGGACACCTGTGATAATTAGATTGGCCGGTGAGCCCAATTTAAGGAAAAACTACTAAAGGACGGCGTTCCACATTATTAAGCAGAGCGCCATTTTCAAGCAATATGGGGAAGAAAAAGATCTCTCTGCTGCAGAAAAACAGTGAAATAGTTCGATGCCTTGGACGAGGGATGAAAACATTCGATATTTCAGGAAAACGTAAGCGTGATCATCGCACTATGAAGAGATTTGTGGCGGATTCAGAGCACAGACGGGTTGGTGCAGATAAAGGCACATAGAGGAAGATTTCTGCCAGATCCATGCATCGGATCAAGAGAGCAGCTGCTAAAATCCCATTACATAGCAGCAAACAGATATTTGAAGCTGCTGGTGCCTCTGGAGTCCCACGGACATCAAGGTGTAGAGTCCTCCAGAGTCCTCCAACTGTGCATAAACCTTCTATTCGGCCACCACTAACCAATGCTCACAAGCAGAAACGGCTGCATTGGGCAGAAAAATACATGAAGACTAATTTTCAAACAGTCCTGTTCACTGATGAGTGCCGTGCAACCGTGGAGGGTCCAGATGGATGGAGTAGTGGATGGTTGGTGGACGGCCACCCTGTTCCAACAAGGCTGCGACGTCAGCAAGGCGGTGGTGGAGTCATGTTTTGGGCCGGAATCATGGGAACAGAGCTGGTCAGCCCCTTTAGGGGCCCCGAAGGTGTGAAGATGACCTCTGCAAAGTATGTGGAGTTTCTGACTGACCACTTTCTTCCCTGGTACAGAAGGAAGAACTATGCTTTCCGTAATAAAATCATCTTCATGCATGACAATGCACCATCTCACGCTGCAAAGAATACCTCTGCATCAATGGCTGCTATGGGGATAAAAGGAGAGAAAGTCATGGTGTGGCCTCCATCCTCCCCTGACCTCAATCCTATTGAGAACCTTTGGAGCATCCTCAAGCAAAAGATCTATGAGGGGGGGAGGCAGTTTACATCCAAACAGCAGCTCTGGGAGGCTATTCTGACATCTTGCAAACAAATTCAAGCAGAAACTGTCCAAAAACTGCCAAGTTCAATGGATGCCAGACTTGTGATCTGCTATCAGATAAGGGCTCCTATGTTACAATGTAACGTGACCGCTTCAAATGTTTACAAAGTTACAATGTTGGGAAAAGTTTGATTGAAATAGCTTTTGATTTCAGTAAATTTGCTGCAAACACAACAAATGACAATTTTCAGTTCTTTACAACCTATAAAGTGTTTGGAAACTTCCTGTGCGGAATAATCCGGAACACAAATCCTGTTATCATTAGGAGGTTTGTGCAATAAAATGTGAATTGTCCTCTTCTAGTTGTCACCTGAGAATTCTGCCGACTGATATTTACATCAATTATTGAGGGAAATGAGAAAAATATCATTTGCAGAATAATTTGGAACACGGTGTGTATGTGTGTGTGTGTGTGTGTATATATATATATATATATATATATATATATATATATATATATATATATATATATATATATATACACACACACACACACACACACTGTATTTTCCGGCGTATAAGACGACCCCCTACTTTTCCTGTTAAAATGTAGAGGTTTGGGCTATACTCGCCGTATAAGACTACCCCTCTTCCAATGCACACCAGTGAGAAGAATCGTGCCCCATCATTGGCGTCAGTGGGAGGAATAGTGCCCCGTCATTGGTGTCAGTGGGAGGAATAGTGCCCCGTCATTGGTGTCAGTGGGAGGAATAGTGCCCCGTCATTGGGTCAGTGGGAATAGTGCCCCGTCATTGGTGTCAGTGGGAGGAATAGTGCCCCGTCATTGGTGTCAGTGGGAGGAATAGTGCCCCGTCATTGGTGTCATTGGAATGTCATTGGTGTGGGAGGAATAGTGCCCCGTCATCAGTGGGGTGTCAGTCAGTGGGAGGAATAGTGCCCGTCATTGGTGTCAGTGGAATATAGTGTCCCATCATTGGTATCAGTGGGAGGAATAGTGCCCCAGTGGGAGGAATAGTGCCCCATCATTGGTGTCAGTGGGAGAATAGTGCCCCATAGTCAGTGGGAGGAATAGTGCCCCATCATTGGTATCAGTGGGAGGAATAGCGCCCCCATCATAGTGGTATCAGTGGGAGGAATAGTGCCCCGTCATTGGTATCAGTGGGAGGAATAGTGCCCCGTCATTGTGTCAGTGGGAGGAATAGTGCCCCATCATTGGTGTCAGTGGGAGGAATAGTGATTGGTGGGAGTAATTAGTGCCCCATCATTGGTGTCAGTGGGGAGTGGGAGGAATAGTGCCCCATCATTGGTGTCAGTGGGGGAATAGCGCCCCGTCATTGGTGTCAGTGGGAGTAATGTGACCCCATCATTGGTGTCAGTGGGAATAGTGCCCCATCATTGGTGTCAATAGTGCCCCATCATAGTGCCCTATCATTGGTGTCAGTGGGAGGAATAGTGCCCCATCATTGGTGTCAGTGGGAGGAATAGTGCCCCATCATTGGTGTCAGTGGGAGGAATAGTGCCCCATCATTGGTGTCAGTGGGATGAATAGTGCCCCATCATTGGTGTCAGTGAAACCAATGATGGGGCACTATTCCTCCCACTGACACCAATGACACTTGCTGACCCCTGTTCTAGTATGGCGCTGCTACAGCCAGCATATGTGGTTGCAGCAGCACCTCTGCACGGCACACTTACCGGCCGCTCCTTCACTCGATTTTTTGCGGGGCTGCTCAGCTCCGCCTCCTTGCCGGTGATTGGCCGCCTGTGTGCCTTTCCTGAGCTACAGTTCTGGCGGCCAATCACTGGTGAGGAGGCGGAGCCGAGCAGCCATGCGAACATCCAGTGGCCGAACCAAATGAAGGAGCAGCCGCGCTTCCTGGACCGGATGGTCGCGGGACCGGAGCCAGGTGAGAGAAAGCAGCCCCTGCCCACCCCTGTACTTAGTGTCCCTTCCGTTGGAAGGGGGGGGGGGGGGGGGGGGGGGGGGGGGGGGCGCGGCGGCGCCGCCTCCCTAAAAAGTGTCAACATGCCGTATACCGGCGTATAAGATGACCCCCGACTTTTGAGAAGATTTTCAAGGGGTAAAAAGTCGTCTTATACGCCGGAAAATACGGTATATATATTTGCATTTTCAGGTAGGGGGCGCGCACAACCCTACC